TCAAAGTGGAAGAGGATCAGAGAGACGCGACAGAAGGGGAAAGAGGGCCCCGGCCCGCTGTGGCAGAGCCAGGTGCCTTGGGTCAAGCACTGGCTGCTGGGAGCCGGGGACAGCCCTCAGCTGGAGGCCGGCCCAGAGACGGGGGTGGCCCTGCATCTGCGAGGGGCTACACTCTAGCTGCGTGGTTAGACAGTGTGGCCCTGCCTGGGGCCTCGGGAGGGGCGTTGCCTTGCCGGCCTGGGTTCTGGCTGGATACAACCCCAAAGCGGTTAGGCGTGCGTTCCTGTTGCTCCAGCTGCTGCATTATGGTCGTCAGTCACCACAGCTATGGGGACTAATACGCCACCTCACCCTCCCTCACCAGCTGCCGGCACAGTCGTCACAGATAGTCTAATGAAACCAGCCCAGTGGTGTCCCCTTCCTGCTCGGCATAACCCCACTGTGCCCCAGGAGTGACTGGGAGAGCGTTACGGGGCAGTCTGGGAGGGACATGCGGACCGAGTTGGCAGTGCAGCCAGCGTGGCGTGGTGCTCCTGAGGGGATGATGGACTTTGGCCTGGTATGAAAGCCAGAGCGGCCCACCTCTACCCAGAAAGCCTCTCGGGTGTGCCCACTGCTGCTGCCTCCCGAGCGCCCGTGCAGCGTGGACGGCTTTGCCTGTGCCTCTCATTTCTGGCCCATGGTGCGCTGCTACAGGAGACCCGGCTGTGATTTCTGCTTCGTGATGGCCCAGCTGAGGTCACACGGCCAGCGTGTCCTGGAGCCAAGATTCCACGCTGGTCTGGGAGCCACTGGTCTTCCAGCAGATGCTGAGAACCCATCCCATGTTGGGGTCTACAACTTCCTCAAGTGTCCTTTCAAAAGCTATTTTACTTTATTATAAAAGTGAAACATGGATTCACTTGAGAAAAGTAAGATCGCAGGGATGTGGGGGTACGGACCACAGGCTGAACGCATGGACAGGCACAGAAGTGAAGCAAAGCTTTTGACCTGCCCAAACCATTTGGACACAGAAAAGGTGGTGGAGATCGAAGAGAATACTTTGGAGGCTGGAAGCAGAGTGTGAGTAGGAACTGCCTTCGCAGACCTGAGAAAACTGACTCCTGAGACGCGACCCAGTTCACCAGGAAGCTGCTGGGAGGTTCAGCAGTCTCGGGCACTGGGCGCCTCTGGAGCCAGAGCAGCGGGGGCTTCCTGGCAGGTGTGGCCGCTCAGGGTGAAGCTGCCTCGTGCTGAGAACGCCACACCGGAGGCAAATGCTTAAAGGCCCCAGAGAGCTCCTGAAGCAATGGGGGCCGAGGGTGGCGGATGTGCAGAGAGGGAGCCGCGGAGCTGCTGCTTTTCCTCCGGTGGGGGGGGGCATCTGCTTCATCCGGAGCATGATCTGTGACTGGAAGTCTGGGCTTCGTCTGGATGGGGCCGGGCTGGGGCAGAGAGACCAGACAGCCTCGGCCATCTTATAGGCTAGGGACACAGACGTAAGGTGTTTGAGGAGCCTGAAACACCTGGCAGTTTCTCCTTGTGCCACGTGACACAATGTTGAAGCTGCAGGACACGGAACGGGAGAGACGTTGACACAGAGCAAAGGCTCTGAAAAACCAGCCTGGAACTGGTGGGAATTTGACTGGGCCGGGACGGTCGGTGACGACGAACACGTGTGTGCCAGACTCACGGGTGCAGCCACAGCAGTGCTAACAGGCAAAATGACAGCCTTCCGTGTGTGTGTCGGACAGCAGAGAAAGCTGGGAGTGACAATCATGGAGCGAGAGAGAGAAAGCAAATCGAACCCCAGGCAAGTGGAAAGGATGGGATAGAGGAGAGCCAAAATCAGTGAGACAGCCGACAAGCATGTGGCAGAGAACAGCCAAAGGCTGAGTTGGTTCTCTACCAAGTTATTTGAACCGTTGGATGAATGTTTAATAAAAGCAATAGGGCCAAGAATTGATTGAGAAATTGACTGAAAGCGGGGAAACACAAATTGCCAATATAAAGAATGCAGAAGGGGGAATCTCTCAGACCTCATGTTAAAAATGAATCATAACAGCTCTGTCTCGGTGAGGTGAAACTGAAAACAACAGTAAGAGCACCCCCTTGTCCCCCAGATGAGCTGGGCAGACCTGCGGGCCGCCTTTCCCGCCCTGAGCCCCGCGCAGCTGCACCGGCTCCTGACTCAGCACCAGCTGGCCTCCGCCGTGGGCCCCATGAGCGCCTGGGAGCCGGTGGCCCAGGACCGGCCCGACGCCTTCAAGTCAGGTAGGCCCCTCCTCAGGCAGGACCATGCTGGGGGCAGGGGTAGCCTCCCTGGGGCCTAATCCTTGGGGGAGCCCGCAGAGCTGGGCTGGTACCCCCGCCCTGGGCCCTCTTCCTCCTTGGGTGCCCTGCCCTGCCCCCCACCTGGGGACAGCCACAGGCGAAGGTCAGGGAGCCCACACTTCATGGCTGAGTGCTAAGCTCTGGGCTCGGGTCGGAGGTACTCCCGACCCCTCATGAAGCCTGAGGATGGGGCCTCACCCAGTGCACCGCCCACCAGGAGGAGAGCAGGGCCAGCCTGCAGGGTGCCGCTGTGCCGTCTGTGGGGGACACTCCCAACACCACGCCCATGCATGTTCACACACACACGTGGACGCGGACAGACACATATGTATTTTCACGGGTCAGACCTACACCTCTCTCCATCAGAATTTTGCACAGCATGTCACAGCACACACGCAGTAGGAATGGAAGGGTGGCGGAGGTCAAGGGCGCGGCAGGGCTGCTCACTGAGGGGCTCACGCAGAGACCCCTCCAAGCAGGACCACAGGCTCCGCAGGACAGGGTCTGTCCTCCTCATTTTCCGGCTCACTGTCAAGGCCTGTGCTGGGAGCAGAGCCTTCCTGCCGGCTGGAGGGCACCCACGTTCAAGTTCAAGTACACAGGCCATGATGCACACCCTGGGTGCTGTGGGGGTGTGGTCAGCCTGGGCCGGGGAGGCCAGGTATCAGCTCAGGGCTGCAGACTTGTGGGCTAGCGGCTCAGCTCCCAGGCAGAGTGGCAGGTCCCAGAAGGGACTGGAGTGCAGTTTGGGCTGGTCTCCCTGGTCTGGGTCCCCCTCCACTGTCCTTGGCAGGCCAGCCTGCTTCTTCCCTGGTCCCGCAGTGTTGGGAGAGGTGGGTGGCCTCCTGGCAAGGAGGCCGAGCAGTCCTCATCCCACCCGCAGAGGATGTCCTGGAGTCCTATGAGAACCCCCCACCCATTGTCTTGCCGAGCGAGGGCTTCCAGGTGGACCTGGAGGCCGACTGCCTGGATGACGGCGTCTACCAGCACCTTCTCTACCTGCGCCACTTCCTGTGGGGCCTGCAGAGCAAGCCCAGCCCTGGTGGCGGGACCCCTCAGCCCCAGGGCCCTGAGGTACCACTGAGCCCCGGGCCTGTGGCTCTGGCTTGGATGGTGGGGTGGACCCAGGGTCCCTCTGCTTGCCCTGGGGAAATGGGAGGGACAGCTGGGGGCCCATGCCTCCCCCACTGTGCCAGGAGCTGGAACTTGGGGCCTGAGCTCTTTCTCTCCCGCAGGGCCCGAACCACCCCAGCCCGGAGGCGCACCCTGAGGACCAGAGCTGCCCCATCACTCCCCGGGGTCCCAGCAGGGGAGCTCGGGAAGGCGGCCCGGTGCACCCTCTCCCCTCACCCAGGGCTCCGAGGGCACAGGGCCCCCCAGACAGGCAGCTGGGCCGGGGGAGCCGCGGAGGCCCCCTGCACACAGACTCCTCCTGCCTGCTCACGCCTCCCAGCACCCCACTGGAGCCCATCCTCCCCGACTGGCCCCTCCCCAGTGGCTCCTGCGGGAAAGCGCCCCTGGACAGGAGGAGGGGTGGACCAGGTGGCCTCCCAGGGGCGACTCCGGAAGGTGAGAGCTGTTCCCCGGTTCCCACCGGTGCCAGCCCGGGTCCTGGCGGCATGTGCTCCGCCCTGGGTGCTCTGTTCCTGCCTGTGGACACCTGCAGCCCCAGATGGCTGGAAGGCTCTGGGGGCCGACGGGGCAGCTAGAGCAGCGGGCCTCGCACAGGCTCCCGGGCACTCGGAGCTGTGGCTTCACACAGGGCAGAGGAACGAACTGTGCAGGTGGTGTGGGCTGGGCATCAGAGATGCAGCCCCCCAGGGACCTGGGGCAGGGGGAGGGGGGAGTGTGGGGAGGCGGGGCTTGCACACACAGGCATGTGAACAGTGTGTGAGGCTACAGGCTGTGAGGGCAGCGTGCCCCCCCAAACCCTGTCAGCCAGGCCTGGCCCCAGGCGGGAGCTCAGTGTGCGTCCTGACCCGAGTCCTTGGTGCTCCTGCGGAGCTTGGGGTGTGTTCTGAGAGCAGCCGTCACCTGGGTGGTTGCTGAGGCTGGTCACCTGGGTGTGGGGTGGGGATGGGTGGGTACGACCACTGATCTCGTGGAGAAAGCACAGGGCTCTCAGGGTGGGAAGTGGGGGCTTCAGGGATGAGAAGAACCCGGGTCTGCAGGGGGCAGCCTCCCTGGGGGCCTGTTGCTGGGCCAGGAGCCTGGAGCTTTCCATTAGCAAGTCAGACACTTGGGAGAGGGACAGACGTGGAGTCACCCCCTACAGGTGGGACAGGAGAGGGAAGGGGGGTCAGGGGGGCCCGGTGGATGGAAGAGGGAGGCCGGGGGCCGGGGGAGACTGGGGCATGCCCTCAGCAGAGCCCCCTGACAGCCCCTGAAAACAGCCAGTCTCTGAGAGCGGGTTCCCAGGTACATGGGGGTGTCACCTGCAAATAGGCCCCGATCTCCATCACCCCGTGGAGGTCTGGGAGCTGACCTGCTGTCCCAGGGTCCTGGACTCTGGGGACAGGTGCGGGCTGCCACGGGCCCTCACCTGCCCCTTTCCTCGCCCACCCAGGAGACTGCATGGCTTCCGAGGATGGACCCCCTCCGGCTCCCTCCAGTGCCCGTGACTTTTGCTCCGTCTTCCTGGTGGAGCTGGAGCGAGGCCCCTCCGGGCTGGGGATGGGCCTGATTGACGGGCTGGTGAGTGGCCCCGGGGCTCCGGTCACTGGTGGAGACTGGAACTTGGGACAGGGACCTGGTGGGTGTCTCCCTGGGGTGGATTGTGAACGGAGGGAGAGGGCCGTGCTGGAGCCCCGCCCTGGCCTGCTGTTGTCTCCGTCCCCAGGCCTCTGTGTCCGTCCTGGGCCTGAGGATGGTGTGGTGTCCAGCGCTGTGCTTGCAGACACGCTGGCGCCCTGGCCCAGCTGGCAAGCCTCCCCACTGAGGCCGAGGGTGGGGCTGAGGTGGCCATCGCTGGGCTGCCCTCCTGTTGGGGCCACAGAGCTCTGAGGCCTCTGTGTCCCCGCAGCACACGCCCCTGGGTGCCCCTGGCCTGTATGTCCAGACCCTGCTCCCAGGCAGCCCTGCGGCTGCCGATGGCCACCTGTCACTGGGAGACCGTATCCTGGAGGTGAACGGCAGCAGCCTGACCGGGGTCAGCTACCTGAGGTACCCCCACCACCCCTGACACTCACACTGAGGCCTGGGCGGTGGAGTCACGGGGCAGCCGGGGCTGGGCCGGCCTGCAGGAGTCTGGCTCAGGCTAACCCCGAGAGGTCCCGTTCTCACCCCGCCCGAGAGATGAGGAAGTGGCGGCTGAGCCCCCCACCCAGCTCTCTGTGGCCACCACCCTCCCTTCCCTCCCCTCTCCCCCACCAGAGGCCGAGCCCCTTTGGGTGGGGGCTGGGCCCTCACACAGCCCCGTGCCCTAGGGACCCGTGGGGTGGAGGACTGGGTCCCCTTCTCTGGACACCTCCAGGAGGCTCCCTCCCTGGGAGCTGGCACAGCCTGTGCTTACCCCTCGCTGGTTCCAGAGCTGTGGACCTGATCCGCCATGGGGGGAAGAAGATGCGGTTCCTAGTGGCCAAGTCCGACGAGGAGACAGCCAAGAAGATCCGCTTCCGGTCCCCCCCGCCCTAGGGGCCCGGGAGTTCCTCAGCTGCTCCTGAGCAGGTGCGCCCCCTTCAGGACACTGGCTGCCCCACCCCTGTGGATAATGTACATCTTAGTGTATATTTTATTTATACGATAGATAACACTAAGTTGTGATGTTTGTTACAGAGCTTTTATGTTGGAAAATTTTAATGGAGACAATAGGTTCAATAAACTATCTTTTGTATTCTGGCAGTGCATGGAGCTGGGGTGGGTGCCATGCTGGGCTCCCCCAGGGCCCAGGGACTGCGGAGTGGGGGGTGGGGGCACTGCAGGACTTAACTCCCTACCAGCTAGTGTGGAAGAGACCCTGGGGACATTCGGGGGCATGGTGGGGCAGAGCAGCTTTAACTGTCTGCCATCCCCTCACCTGGAAGCGAGGTGAAGCAGGGACGTGCCAGGCGGCTGGCCTCCGGGGAGGGCAGTGTGCGGGCTGCTCCTGGAACCTGCAGGCTCAGCACAGCACCCCAGCGGTGGCCTTGAGCGAGTCCCCGGAAGGTTACAAAGTGAGGGCAGCGACCCACCGCAGTTCCTGGGCCCCTTCCCTCTCTGACCACGGCAGCCCTGGCATAGCCCTGACACCAGGCCCCTAGTCTGCGGGTGACCAGCCGACCAGCGGACCCAGCAGGGCCAGCAGCAGGGCTGTGTTGCTGCTGCGGGGACAGGGGCCTTGGTCACCTGCCTCCCTGTGGGCTTCATGTCTTCAGCAGGTTCAGCAGCTGGTGGCCCTTGTCCTTCTGGCAGTGCAAGGAGCTCACGGCCGGTCTCTGGGGCCAGGGTCCTCATCTTTGACAGGATCAGACCCTGGGGAGGAGGGGGTCCCGCCAGTCAGCCGCAGAGGCAGCCCTTGGGGGGGACAAGGGTTTTGGTGGAGCCCCGCAGCAGTGTCCTAGTGGGTCCCAAGCCCTGGGCCCATGCCGCCCCCTGGTGGGCACAGAAGAGAAGTGCACGGGCGGCGGCGGGTCAGCGTTTGTCCCCAGTACCCCCTCACAGGGTCGAGGCCTCCCACTGCCTTGTTCCCCGAGGCTGGATCAGCGCGTTTTCAAAGGCGCTGTAAATGTGTGCTTGCTCCCGGGAGACAAGAAATGCTACGACCCCAACTGCGTTCAGAGAGGGCACGAGTTCAGCGTCCCTCACTGCAGCACTCTGTGGTCGGGGACACAGCGCGACCCCACTGAGATGCTGCGACCTGCGGAGCCGAGTGGGGACCCTACGGAACCCCGATAAACACATTCTCTGCCGCAGCCCCTGGATGCTAGTCCCGAGGGCCAAGCAGGGTGAGGGTGAGCTGGGGAGGGCGGCAGGCGAGTTCTAGGTCATCGGCACGCCCATCTGAGGGGTCACACGGGCCAGTTGCGGCCAGGGGCGGAGCCTGTGGGGGGCGGGATGCAGCGAGGGGCGGGCCCGCAGTGACCAGTGGGGGTGCAGCTCGAGGTTCAAGGAGCAGTAGCACCACCTGGTGGCCGAGGAGCTCATCTGCAAGCTGGCTGCAGACTTAAACGGAGGTGGTGGGAAGCGCTGGGGCTGGGGCAGTTTCTCGCCCCACCCACCGAGCAGGCCATGGAACAAGTGTCTCCCCGTTGAAGATAACCCCAGAGTGAACCTGGACTTATCCTGGGTAATGCTCTGGGCTGCAGGTGCTGCGGTCCTGCCTGTGGAGGCCCCTGCCTGGTGGGCCTGCCTCCCTCTTAACTGCGCAGGCAGACCAAGTTGACCACACCCACAGCCCACCCAACTGGACCCCCTCCCCCCCCAGCCCCGGGGCCCCAGGCGGCTCACCTGAGCTGTTCAGGAGCTAGGAAGGTGCACGAAGGAGCGCACTGAGCAGACGCACCTCCCCTGGCCCCCCAGCTGTCCCCTCAGGAGGGTCACACGGAGTCCTCCTGATTGCAGGCATCAGTGATCTGTCACTCCCGTAACACCCACACACGTGGGACTGCGCGGGAAGGAGTGACCCCAAGTGTCCCGCAGGCCAGACAAGCATCCCTTCCATCAGGGGTGCCTCCCAGAGAGAAGCAGCAGGGGGCTGTCTGCTGGCTGCCCCCAGCCCTCCCCGACCCTGGGCCTCTCCCCTGGGGGAGGGGGGCCAAAGGGCAAAAGGGAACAGTCTTGCCTTGTCCATACAGAAACTTCCAGAGCAGATTTATTTTGGTGGAATCTCTCCCTGCAGCTCTCATCCAGCCTCACAGGGCTAGGGCCCCACGTCAGGGCCGCCTCTGCAGGGTTCAGTGTGGATGCCAGGGGAGGGTTCCGAGACAGACACCCACAGGGTGAGAGGAGATGGCCAGAGCAGCGCCCAGCCGCTGACACCCCCGGGACCTCCCGGGCTTGGCCCTTCCTGGTTTCCTCTCTGACCATCGAAGCACTGGCTTGGCCCTGATACCGGGCTTTTAGTCTTGCCCCCTCCGGCATCAGCCTGGCGCCGTCCCTCACCCTGGCAGGAGGCCCGCCTCCCTCTCCACCAGCCGGCTGACCGTGCGCAGGGCCAGTGGCAGGGCTGTGTTAGTGTCACGGTGGTAGCGGGGCTTGGACATCTCCGCACTGGGCGTGAGCACGAACTGGGCCACACTGGGCATCTTCAGCAGGTTCAGCAGCTCGGTGGCCCGCCTGCCTATGGCTCCTGCGTCCTCCCTGCAGCCCAGGGGTCCCATGGCCGGGCCCTGGGCCAGGGTCCTCATCTTTGACAGGAACAGAGAGACCCTGGGGGGAGAGGTCCTCGAAGTCAGCTGCAGACGCAGCCCAGGCAGGGGCTTCAGCCTGGGGAAGCGAGGAGGCAGAGCCCACACAGCCCACGCTGCCCGCGTGTTTCCCGAATCCCCTGTGCGAACGCCGGGCCCTGGCCTCTGGTACTGGGCTGCCTGCAGAGCCCCTCCTTTCCCCATGGGAAGCCAGCAGGCCCTCTCCTCCCACCCCGGCCTGTACCTGGGGATCAGGTCTTGGCTGCGGGAGGCCAGCTTGGTGAGCGTGGTCATCAGTGTGGCGATGAGCTGTGGGGGGCACTTGGGAAGGGTGGCCGAGGGGCGGGACTGGGTGACCTCGAACAGCAGCGCCTCCAGGGCTTCGAAGAACTTGTTGATCTGGTCCACGGTGCAGCGCCGGTCCCAGCTCACTGCCAGGTACTCACCGATGGCCCACACCTGTGGGGACGGTACCTCAGCCCCAACCAGGACTGCCGGGCCCGGCAGGGGACGGGCGGCCCAGGCTTACCACCGATGTGAGCAGGTGCCCGCCACCACGCACGCCGCTGCCGCTGCCCACAAACTCCAGGAGCTCCTTTGCCAGCTCCACCACCAGGGAGGGGTGCCGCTTGCACAGGACCAGAAACTGGGAGCTCAGCACCCTGCCCGGAGAGGACATTGGTGGGCTGTGAACTGGCCCTCGAGACCCCAGCCCTGCACCCGGCCCAGGACAAGGGCCAGGAGGCAGGAGGTGGACGGGAAAGCCTCTGAGCACCAGGTGGATGGAAGGACGACTCTGGCCCCTAAAGGAGCCTCTTGCCCCACCGGGGAGGAGGCAGGGACAGCTCTGTCCTTGCTCCTCATCCTCTGAGTGGGGTGCAAGCGTTAGGCTTTCAGAAAGGGAGACCGATGGTCTGCAAGGCTCTGGGGCAGGGGAGTCTGTAAAGCGCGTGGGCCGGGCCTGGGACGGCGCTGGGGTCGCAGCACTGCAGCAGCCGGAGGGACAGCGGGGGTGTGAAGGGGTTGGTGGGACTGGTGGGGGGTGGGGGTGAGGCCCCCCCGGTGGCCGACAGCAGGCAGGCACCTGTGCACGCAGGCCTCGTAGCCTGGGACTGGGTACAGCGAGTCACTTCTCTCCAGGAGCAGCTGTGCCAGCTGGTTGGTCAGAGCCCCATCTGCGAACTGGGGTCAAGAGCAAGAGACGGACTCGGCGTCCCCCCCTAACCCCCCATGAACACCTCCTGCTGCGCTCTGTCCGGTCCTGGCTGGCAGAGGGCTCTGGCCCTGCCGTGGGGTGTGGCGCCCTGGGGATGGCGCCTGGGCAGTGGGCTCACCTGGCCCGCCACCGAGAAGAACACCTGGAGCAGGGTGGGCACCGCTTCGGCACACTGGAGCACCCGGGCGCAGCCGGCCATGGGCTGCAGCAGCTGGTGAAGCAGCGCCAACCTGGGGACACGGGTGCAGGCCGCTGAGCATGTGCTGGCACACCTGCCTTGCCGGAGGCCGCCCTGCTCCCCGCACAGCCCGTGCTCCAAGGCCTGCTTCTGCGCTCGGCCTCTCGCCCCTCAGGGAGACCCTGCTGCCTGGCACCGGGGGGCCGGCGTGGGGCTGAGGCAGCCATCCGGAGGGAAGAGGCCCTGCTCCAGTCCCGGGTCTCCTTTCCTACTATGGGTGCAGGCCTCAGTTTCTCCATCTATAGGATGGAGTCACCAGGGCACCCACCTCACAGGGTTACGAGGACTGGCCCATGGAACAGAGAGCCAAGTGCCAGGCACCCGTCCAGGTAAGAAGGCACTAGGCCCCAGGGGGGACAGGACACCAGGGCTCTGTCCACACAGCCTGAGGGACCCCCCACCTCTCCACGGTCCCGCTGGCCTTGGCGCGCAGAAGGTGCTGGAAGAGAGCCTGGAACTGCGGGTCCCGGAAGGCCTCCAGGCAGCCGGGGACCCGGACAGAGGCATCCCAGAGCGGCCTCTCCAACACAGCCGGCGACGACCTGCGGGCGGAGTAGCACCAAGGCCGGGCTCAGATGTGGCTCCCGCACCAGCCACCAGGGCTGGACGCAGCCCGGCCCTCACAGGCACCCACTGGTCAAGGAAAGCCAGGAGCAGGTGCCTGTGACGTCACAGCGCCTGGCCCAGCGGGGCGACCAGAAAGGGCCGGGGGCCGGACCCGCAGGCGGGGTGGAGGCCCGCAGCTAACGGAGGACGGCAGTGGGCTGCAGGGGCGCGGGGGCACTCTGGTCAGCTGGTTCTGCGGGGCGCAGAGCGGTAGGGGCAGAGCCAGGAGGGCCCTGTGCTGGGGCGGGGGAGGGACACAGGGCAGGGCCCGGGCAGGGGCCAGTGAATGGACCCACCTGAGCTGCAGGTCCAAGGCCGCGGTCAGACACGGCAGGTCCAGCAGCGCGTGCAGCATCTCTGCGGCCGTGCTGGCGTCGACCAGCGACGGGAGGAGCGCCGCGACCTCGGCGGTCAGGGGCGGGCTGTTCCAGGCCAGGAGCTGTGGGGACAGGCAGGGCGGCTCAGTCGGGCCCCAGGAGTCTGTCTGTGGGTCCTGAGGTTCGGGGGCAGGGCTGTGACTGGCCACATCAGGGGGTCAGCCTGGCCGCCACCTCTCCCTAGTCACTGGGATCCGGGGCCTGAAAGTTGTCCCTCCCACTGCTGCCTTTTACTGGTCTTTGCGCCTGTATCACTTTGGCACTGAGAACATCACTGTTTTCTTCCTGTCACCATGGTCATTTCTCTGGTGAGGGGCCGAGTCTCCTGCGATTCTGAACGGACCACACAGTGACCGCCAGTCACAGAGGACACATCAAACGCCAGTGGCACCAAAGGGCTGAGCACACAGGCTGGGCTGTGGGACGGTGCTCTGGGCAGGTGTGAGGACCGGGCCCGGCGTCAGACCTTCCCAGAAGGGCCAGCACAGGGCTGTGCGGCAGCAAAGGGGGTACCTGTGACGTAAGGACACCCGTGGCCTCGCCCTCCACCCGCGCCCCAGGCCGCCCTCGCCGACCTGGGAGTGACTGGGCCCGAGGCCCCAGGATCAGATGGGGACGCTGTGCTCCCCAACCCAGGCCCCCCGGCCCCCGTTCCGGCCCGGGGATGAGCAAGCGTGCCTTGAAGAGGTTGGGGAAGCTCAATTTGAGAATGCCGAGGTTTCTGCCAAACAGGGGAAGGTTGTCCCTGCAGAACCGGACGAACTCGAAGGCCAGCGTCGGGCTGTGGAAGAACTCGGAGGGGATCCAGGTGAACGCGTGCTGGCAGACAGCCTCCGCGTCCATGGCTGCCGCCTCCCCTGAGAGGCCCAGGCCACCGTGAGGACACCGGGCGCTGGGGAGCGCCACCTGGGGTCTTGGGCCCGTCCCCGAGGCCCGCGTGTCTCCAGGACTCCAGATACTCCCACACACGTCCCCCTTCCCCTGCAGCAGCGGCTGCGACCACCCCTCTAAGGAGCTGGTGGACTCTGATGGCAAGGTGCACTCTGAGAACGACATCGGGACGGTGACATCTTAACTCACGACACAAATCATTTTAGAGCCGCTGCGACCCAGTGCTAACTGCCTGTCAAAGCTATGCCACCCACCAGCAAAGGGAGGGGGCCCCGGGGAGAGGGAAGCCGCCTTGGCCGTGAC